TTTTTGGAGAAAATGGGGCCGAAATTATGTAATAATCATTATAAAAAATAGGAGTTCAAAAAAGAAAAATCATTATAAAAAATAAAATTAAAACATATATGAATAGAGTCTTATAATAAAATAAATTATTATTTTATAATTTTGTCAATTTATACTTAATTTTTTTATATTTATTTTTAATATAAATCCTTCATCTATTTTTATTAAATAAAATTAATAAAAAAAACTATTTTACTCATCAACTACAAAATGTATAATCACACTATTAATTGGAGTAATAAAAATATTTAAAATTTTAGAAACCACAAATATCATAATCAAGTCACAAAGTTTTGTAATATAAAACATGAAATACATAATGCCATCATTAATTGGTGTAACAAAATTGTTTAAAATTATAGAAACTCACAAATGTCATAACTAATTCCCAAAATTTCTTAACATTAACCAAAAATTATGTAACTATCCACTAATTGGTGTAACAAAAACATCTACAAATTTAAAAAACCACAAATGTCATAACCAACTCACAAAATTTAATAACATCAACTACAAAATGTGTAACTGCACTACTAATTGCCATAATAAAAATAATCAAAATTTTTACAAATCACAAATGTCATAACCAACCCAAAAAATTTCATAACATCAATCACAAAATGCGTAACAACACAACTAATTGATGTAGCAAAAATATCCAATTTTTTTATAAATCACAAATATTGTAATCAAGCAACAAAGTTTCATAACAATTATCATAAAATGACTAAATAAATCACTAAAAATCTTAGAATCACCAATTGGGATCTCTCATAATACAGAGAAAACAAAATGTAATGAGAATCATTAAATAATTTAATTAACGACTTAAAGCCATGGAACATAAAATGAGAGTTAGAGAAGATTAGCTAGTAGAGCGAGAGGAAAGGGAATATGAGAAAGAGAGACTGAACGGACGTTTCGCCTGTGAAAATGACGTCAAAGGTGCTGTCATTTCCAATAAGGAACATCGGAGATATCTACAATGACAGTAAAGAATAAGAGAAATGCTTGAGGGATGAAGAGGACTGAGATAGCAGAACAATACAACAAAATGCGTAATATTTATTTTTCAACAGTTCTATAACGCATGTACAAATTGATGATAACAAAACCTTTCAAATCATAACTATGGCCAAAGGTTTGTGTATGTATGACATATTAATGTGAAAAAGCTAGAGTTTCGAGATAGATGCATTTATTAGATAGAGAAATATCACCAGAATGAATAGTGTTGAAATAGACAAAGAGAGTAGTGATGAGTTCAAGGATCTATTGCAGAGACACAAGAGTAGAGAGAGGAAGAATCCAGTGAGAAAGAATAGTCAACGATGGTCATTCGATAATTTGAGCGAAATAGAGAAGTCTGAGTAAGAAATAGAGAGAGCTCTGGCACAACTAGGACAAATCAAGGGAAAGAAAATAGAATAGAGAAAAAATGAAGAAAAGTTGGGAAAAAAAATTTAGGAGAAAATTTATTTAGTAGAACAAAATAAAAGCACATCATAGATAATTTTTTTCAACATATTTTTTTATTAAAATTTAGTTAAATTATATATATATATATATATATTTTAAAAAGTATATCGTTTGTATATTACTATTTCTATTATATTTAATGAAGATACTATGACTAAAAATAAATCTAAAATAGAGATAGGTGATTGTTTGTGAGAAATAAAATGAGAGAGGGATGATATTTATAGGACTTGGGAGGAAGGGGTTAATTTATATATATATATATATATAAATGGTTATTAGTAGAATTAACGGTTATATGATTGTTTTAAAATTTTTTTTTTTTAAATTTTTGACCAGTGCACTAACAGGGGGCAGGGAGCCATTAGGGTTGGGTCGGGCCATATGGGGAAAAAAAAAATTGGGTCGAGCTCACGAGATAGGTCACACTCCATAACATACCAGAGTCGGGTCAGGCTCTAGAACACATAGCCTAGGGTCTTAGGTTGGGCTTAGGCTCAGGCCTAGTTAGGCCCACCAAGGGCGCGACTGGACTTGAGGTGTGCCGTGAGCTCATGGGCCAAATTTACACCCCCTATATGTGGGTAGTGGTTATGAGATATGTGATTAGTGGTTATGATAGATGTGATATTGGTTATGAGGCAAATGGTGTTGGTTATGAGATGTGGTTATGACATAAGTGGGTAAAGGTTATAAGATATATGATTAGTGATGATTAGATATGTGATTTTGGTTATGGGCAGAGTGGTGTAATTTTAAGTCAAAGGGTGTTTGGTCATGAGATACGTGATTAGTGGTTATAAGATATGTAATGTTGGTTATGATCAAAGTGGTGTGGTTATGAGATATGTGATTAGTAGTTATGATATATGTGATGTTGGTTATGAGATATGTGGATAATGGTTATGAGATATTTGATTTGTGATTTTGGTTATGAGCAAAGTGGTGTCAAAGGGTGTTTGGTTATGCTATATGTGTTAGTGGTTATGAGATATGAGATATTGGTTATGATCAAAGTGGTGTGGTTATGAGATATGTGGTTAGTAGTTATGATATATGTGATGTTGGTTATGAGATATGTGGATAATGGTTATGAGATATTTGATTTGTGATTGTGGTTATGAGAAAAGTGGTGTCAAAGGGTGTTTGGTTATGCTATATGTGTTAGTGGTTATGAGATATGAGATATTGGTTATGATCAAAGTGGTGTGGTTATGAGCAAAATAGTTGTTAGTTATGAGATATGTGACTAGTGGTTATGAGATATGTGATGTTGGTTATGACTCAAAGAGGTTGGTTATGAGATATGTGATCAATAGTTATGAGATATGTGATATTGATTATGATCAAAGTGGTGTGGTTATGAGCAAAAAGGTGTTAGTTATGAGATATGTGACTAGTGGTTATGAGATACGTGATGTTAGTTATGAAAAAAAAAGGTGTTGGTTATGAGATATGTGACTAGTGGTTATGAGATATGTGATGTTGGTTATGACTCAAATGGGTTGTTATGAAATGTGGTTTTGAGATATGTGATTATGGTTATAAAATATGTGATATTAGTTATGAACAAAATGGTGTGGGTTATGAGATGTGGTTATGAAATATGTGATATTAATTATGAACAAAATGGTGTTGATTATGAGATGTGATTATGACTAAGTTATGATGAATTTGATTATAGTTATAAAGAAATATGATTTTGGCTCATAACTATAAAAAGTGACCTACTTAGGAGGTCACTTTTAATGATGTGGCTCAATCTTAGCTATTGATTTTCTATGTATCGTATATTTTTTAACAAAATGTCCTATAGACTTTTCCTTATATATACACGCACACAAAGATAAAGCTTCTCCTCCATCTCCATCTCTATTCCAATATAGATTCAATAGAATTTGGTGATTCGGCTGATATCTAGAGAAAAATACAACACAATATGTATACATATATATTCTTTAGTGTATAGTAGTATTCAAATCCCAACCTTTCTAGTAATACCCAGTTGTTGATTTCTGCATTTTTTTTTACCTTTTCCTCCATCTTCGTTTGATTGTTCAAGCTGTCTTAATCTTAAGGTATCTCTCTATTCATTTTGCATGGCTAAACGTAGAATCCCTCTTTCGTACATCTCAAATTCTCAAAAACCTCTTCAATCGGTATGTTGTCCTACAAATCAAATTCATATATCAAATTCACCAAAATCAAAACCCATCAAAGCACACCTTTACTGAATAAAAAACAACACAGAGTGTAAAAATCACAATAGAGTCAGATTCAGTACCAAATCAACAGCTTTCTTCTTGAGTGCCTCTATTAATTCATCTTTACTTCCCATCTCGGTCTCTTTCATTTCCACAACTACATAAAAATTAATTTTTTTAAAAAAAAGTACAGGGAGAGAGATTATACAAACACTACTACGGCCCTGTTTGGTAGAGTTGTGGAAAAGTGATTATAGATTATAGCTTATAGCTGTGAGTATAAGCTGCTAACCTGTTTGGTGTAGCTGTGGGATTATAGATTTAAATAGCAGAATAGTGTTTGGTAAATAAGCTGTAAAATAGCTTTTTGCTGTGTAATTGTCATTTTTGCCCTTATGAACAGGAAATTTGTAATTTTTGTCATTTTCTTCTCTTTAAATTTTAAAAAAGTTATTTCATTAATGGAAGTTGATTAATTAGTACCTAATTTGGTATATTTCATTACCTCAAATTTTTATTTATTTTTTTTGTAATAAAATATTGAGTTGACAAGAAAACAAAAAATGTCATTGCAATAAAAATACAATAAATTACTACTAAGGCAAGAAAAATAAAACTTCATACATATTTATAGAGCTCCTAATTTCGTTTGCAAATTGACATACAAATATTATGTCTCCTCACTTCCATCTCGTTGTCATCACATGCAGCATCATTTCCATGGCGTGCTTGTTGAGACAAAGATCTTTCCTCTTCATTAGGCACATAATCCGTGAATCTATCATAAGAGCCAAATGCAATATCGCGAAGCTTACTTCATCGGATGAAATTATGAATTGTCATTGTTGCACAAACAAGTTTGACTTGGGTCGACCACTTGTAGTTTGATGGGATATCCTTTATCATCGGCTATCTTGCTTTCCAAACCCCGAACGTTCTTTCTATTACACTTCTAAGTGATGAATGTGCTTGGTTGAATTTTTCTTGTGCATTTTGGGGGGAGTTGACCATGTTCAAATTGAGCTAGATGATATCTCTCTCCTTTGTAAGGTGCAAGATATCCTTTCATGTTTGGATAACCAGCATCCACCAAGTAAAACTCATCTATTTTAAAATTCCAAAATGAAATTTAAGTAAGCAATTATAAATGTAAAAATAAATATGAAGATGTGAGTGTGGTGCATCTATTGTAGCAATCAAATATAAAACAGTTACCTCCTTGTGGTTTTGAAAAATTAAAACTAGGATTCCTAATTGTATCTAAGAATATCCGAGTATCGTGTGCACTTCCTTCTTATCCTGGTAAGCAAAATGTGAAACACATATCAAAGTCACATGCGGCCATTATGTTTTGAGTCGCATATCCCTTTCTACCTATTAGACGAGCTTGCTTATCTGGAGATATATATGCTTTGATGTGTGTTTCGTCAATTGCTCCAATACAATCCTATTACATATAATGAATAAAAAAAATTTTAGCCACAGATTAGTAAAAATATCCTACCAACATTAATTATATGTAACAGCCAAGTTGCGCTTGTAGTTAATTATTTACCTTGAAATGAGGATAATATTTGCGTTTGCGTCGGATATATGGATGCACACCATTAGTCGGTTGAGGCCTTACCCAATCAATGGACATCATTGTAACAGCCTTTAACACCTTCTTGAAATATTTTGAAATAGTCTCGCCGGAATGTTGAAATCTTTCTTGGACATTTCTGTTTCGAATGTCACCGCCAACAATAAACAAAAATATTGTAATTTGCTCTTGAACCGAGCCTTGTCGTCCAGTTTGAAGGCCATAATTTGTCTGTAACAAATTACACAATTGATAAAATACCTCTCTTTCCATTCGAAAATTTTCAAATATTCTTATCTGATTCCCTTTTTGTAATTCTACCATCCACATCCCTCCTGTTAAATAAGATGCCCTACATGGTTTTTTTATCAAATAATTTGTTGCATATGTCGCTGCAACTGTAGCCGCCGTAGCTAAGAGCATATTATTATTTTGTTGGGTTTGCGATGTGCTGCCTTCATCGTCAGTATCTTCATCATCATGGTCATCATTCCATTGGTCTTCATCACTGCTACTCATCTTTAAGATGGTACTATGGCAGGCTACAACACTTTGCCAGGTTGCAATCCTTGAGCATGGCAAACATATTCAATAGCTATTCTCTGTCATGAGTTGGGTGGGTCATATGCACCAGGCATTTCAACATGGAGATGTAATCAGTAAGAAAACATATCAGAACAAATTTATAACAAATTTATAAATTTATAAAGTAAAACCCACGTGGTGTAACTATTCTTAATCCAAGCTCTTCGTTGTCATCACATGCAACATCATTTCCATGGCGTGCTTGTTGAGACGAAGATCCTTCCTCTTCATTAGGCACATAATCCGTGAATCTATCATAAGAGTCAAATGCAATATCGCGGAGCTTACTTCATCGGATGAAATTATTAATTGCCATTGTTGCACAAACAAGTTTGACTTGGGTCCACCACTTGTAGTTTGGTGGGATATCCTTTATCATCGGCTATCTTGCTTTCCAAACCCCGAACGTTCTTTCTATTACACTTCTAAGTGATAAATGTGCTTGGTTGAATTTTTCTTGTGCATTTTGGGGGGAGTTGACCATGTTCAAATTGAGCTAGATGATATCTCTCTCCTTTGTAAGGTGCAAGATATCCTTTCATGTTTGGATAACCAGCATCCACCAAGTAAAACTCATCTATTTTAAAATTCCAAAATGAAATTTAAGTAAGCAATTATAAATGTAAAAATAAATATGAAGATGTGAGTGTGATGCATCTATTGTAGCAATCAAATATAAAACAGTTACCTCCTTGTGGTTTTGGAAAATTAAAACTAGGATTCCTAATTGCATCTAAGAATATCCGAGTATCGTGTGCACTTCCTTCCTATCCTGGTAAGCAAAATGTGAAACACATATCAAAGTCACATGCGGCCATTATGTTTTGAGTCACATATCCCTTTCTACCTATTAGACGAACTTGCTTATCTAGAGATATATATGCTTTGATGTGTGTTTCGTCAATTGCTCCAATACAATCCTATTACATATAATGAATAAAAAAAATTTTAGCCACAGATTAGTAAAAATATCCTACCAACATTAATTATATGTAACAGCCAAGTTGCGCTTGTAGTTAATTATTTACCTTGAAATGAGGATAATATTTGCGTTTGCGTCGGATATATGGATGCACACCATTAGTCGGTTGAGGCCTTATCCAATCAATGGACATCATTGTAACAGCCTTTAACACCTTCTTGAAATATTTTGAAATAGTCTCGCCGGAATGTTGAAATCTTTCTTGGACATTTCTGTTTCGAATGTCACCGCCAACAATAAACAAAAATATTGTAATTTGCTCTTGAACCGAGACTTGTCGTCCAATTTGAAGGCCATAATTTGTTTGTAACAAATTACACAATTGATAAAATACCTCTCTTTCCATTCGAAAATTTTCAAATATTCTTATCCGATTCCCTTCTTGTAATTCTACCATCCACATCCCTCCTGTTAAACAAGATGCCCTACATGGTTTTTTTATCAAATAATTTGTTGCATATGTCGCTGCAACTGTAGCCGCCGTAGCTAAGAGCATATTGTTATTTTGTTGGGTTTGCGATGTGCTGCCTTCATCGTTAGTATCTTCATCATCATGGTCATCATTCCATTGGTCTTCATCACTGCTACTCATCTTTAAGATGGTACTATGGCAGGCTACAACACTTTGCCAGGTTGCAATCCTTGAGCATGGCAAACATATTCAATAGCTATTCTCTGTCATGAGTTGGGTGGGTCATATGCACCAGGCATTTCAACATGGAGATGTAATCAGTAAGAAAACATATCAGAACAAATTTATAAATTTATAAAGTAAAACCCACGTGGTGTAACTATTCTTAATCCAAGCTCTTTTAGAACAAATTTATAAAGTAAAACCCAACAATTTTTTTACTTATTTGTGTAACCCATGCTTTGTGAAGTTCGTTCAAAACAATTCGCATTTCAGAAATAAATTTTGTAATGAATCAAGTTTAAAGCAAAATCACACAAACATTGGAGTGAATTTTCCTGCTCTTAGTAAGGTACAACCCTACCCGAGGACATTACGGAGATGGAAAAGATTTAGTGATCTTCATGAAATTCAAGCATGACACAAATGCAATTCAAGCAGGCAGCACTGTTATATACATATCCAATTCTAGCTGAGGAATGAAGTATTGAAGATGTGTTCCTATCTACTGATCCAAACAATGCCTGAATAATAATCAAGAACTAGAGAATCAAGGACCATGGGACTAGGAAGCAGTATTCCATCACAAAAATTCTGAACTTAAAACTTGTTGAATACATACTAACAAGCAGTATTCCATCAAAAAAAATTCCATGACTAAATATAAGGCAACCTGTCATCCATTTATCCCAATTAAAGAAAACCATCATTCATATAAAGAAATATGTAAATACAAAAATGAAATAAGTGAAAGATTAAAATGTAAAGCAAGAAAATTATACCTTCAACTTCAACAAAATTATACCTGGACAGATTCAAATATGAAGGAAAAAAATGTAAAGCACAAAAAAGAATTGAGTAAACCAGTCACCTACATATACATATATATAATCTTCACCATTCACATACCATTCATATTCAACTAACATTCAACAAGTCAACCATTCACCTACCATTCAACTGAAGAAATGTCACCTACCCACCAACCATTCAACCATTTAACTAACAGTCCAACATAATATTAATAAAATTCGAAATAATGAGTCCACAATTAAAAGTCCAACATAGTCAATATTAATAAAAGGAAAATTAGGAAAATATTGCAACAGTCCACAATTAGTAAAATAAAAAGTCCAACAGAACAGTCTACAATTAATAATAAAAGTCGTAAGAACAACCGAGCAGTCCACAAATTTGCCGCGATAACCTGTGGTGGTCTTCTTCATCTCAATCTCCAACTTTAGAAACCTAAGCCGAACTTCATCCGTAGGAAGAGTCATGAAGCACTCACGACGCTTGTCTCGTAAGAACAATCGGGCGGCCCACACATACAGTTCATCATCCGGGGACACACCAGGGATGTTTTCCAACTTCGCCAAACATTCTGCAATTGAGGGATATCTTGATGAGGTCTGTGTTGAAGTTGCTGAAGATGACTCAACCACATTGACTATACGATCAAGTGTCTTGTTAATTAGAGCTACACCAGTAAATTTCTTCTGTGTCTTGCTCTTGGTTGATGAACCACCAGTGTTTGATGAATGCTTTTTGTTTAACTCAGAAGGATGAACCACCTCCAAATCATCATCATCATATTCAGCATCATGTGGGGTATGAAATTCCTCCACATTCCCATCAGTGTCAGGCATAACCCCTGAACTAGGAGTGTATGCCCATTCTCCAGTAGCAGCTGCATCTGAGAATAGTATGTCTAAGTCTTCACTAAATTACAACGGCATACGCCGGAATTTAGCAGCATCAGGATACCTCTGCAACAATTACAAAGAAAAAACATTTACAAATATCAAAATTTGGTGTGTTTAAACAACAAAAAATAACAGAATATGTACATTAAGCAATTTAATTACCTCCAATTTCTTGGTCCACCACTCATCAGATGCAGATATAGCTCCAGTCAATGTATCATGGCCTAAGCCTGTCTCACCCCTTAACAGATTGTTCCACAAAAGCCAATCTTTTTTCAACACATCCCAATGGTTTTTCATTTGTATTCATTGGTATGCTTTTCCAGTCATAGTTTTAAACGTAGTTATGACATTTTCCCACCCGACCCTATCTAAGTGTGTACCAGGTCTGTGTCCGACCTTCACTTGCTCAACATAAAGCTTAATAAAGATTTCATTTGATTTTGCATCCCAATGAGCCTTAACAGATGGTACTTGAGAGGATTTTCCCTTATTCTTCCTATTTTTCAGATTGTGTTTCGTCTTGGGTACTCATTCTATAAAAGAAAAAAAATTGTTTAACACATACTCATTCATCATTGGTTGCATTAAAACATAAGATTAGTATAAAATAACCATACATGGCAACTACAATAAAGGTCTCATCATTGGGTACACAACTTAGCAAAAAAACACATGATCTACAAGCCACCTACAATCATTTGAAGAGTAATGCAACTGACAGAACAATACAAATTGTGAGCAAACCCACAACAAGCTGCTTCATAAATGTTACGGATTGCTCAAGCATTTGGTTTTTCACTTGTAGTCCTACAGTCTCGATGTTTTGATTTTGATAAAGATTTGTCTCGTTCCTCTGCCTCTCTACCATCGTCATAGATTTTGGGGTATACCACCTCCAAAATTGACAATTTCTCTTCTCACAAATTACATACAGTTTTCCTTTTGATGGCTTCTCAGATTCGGTTACCTTTATGGCAATTCTTACACCACACTCACATTTCATAGGCTCGTACCTCAAATCCAAGGTCTCAGCACTGGAAGCATAGTTACTAGAGGATGACATGCCTCTGCAGTAATTAGGAAGAATTGAATCCACACCCTCTAAAATTGATTGGAAACTTAAAGATGTTATACATGACTAACACTATTGTCCATGACCAACTATGTAAACAGAAACAGTTTTCATGCATTGGATTGAGTAACCCTTTGTAGACGTCCCCGAACGCCCCGGGAGGGTGAGTCCCGTTCTGTTCATTTGGGGTCACTACAGCTCAGGACTCTCAAATGTCACGGTTCTCTAAGTCTGAACCAAAGAGTCCAAATC